CAAGCATGTTCTCGTTATGCTAAGAGAGTTACAATTGTGTGCACGAGTAATTTATGACTATTTTATATTGCATTTTCATGGGGTGTCCTCAATGCCATAGTCACTCTAATAAATCTGTTGAGTGTTAGAATTTAGTTGGTTTAAACCCTGAATTTTAGCCTGGTGGTTTATCAATGAGTCATAGGCCTTTTCTTTGGCTCAAAAAAGAGTTCCAGTTACATAAAAAGAAACACAGGGATACTTGTTACAAACTAAAAGCATATTATCTGCCTTTGATCTCCAATGCAAAGTAATGAACATTCAATTTTTTTCTAAAGTCAAACTAAATATATGTCTTTTTTTCTGTTTTCTTTTACGTATTAGGTGACAGTAAACAAACAGGCAGTGGCTTTGCCTTATAAAAAGTTTGGCTTGAGCATCTATGAGTCAGGCATAAATCGTGTAGTGGAAATTCCTGAACTGAAAGTAAATGTGAGCTACAATGGCTTGTCCTTTTCTATCAGAATGCCCTACAACCTATTTGGCAACAACACTCATGGACAGTGTGGTAAGGCTTAGTCTTGTGATTTTTGAACTCTTAGAAAACCACAAACAGGTAAATGACAGCCCTGCTAGAAAGATGAATGGAATTTCATAACAAAACTGAATTAATTCTTTCTCCCCTTACCAATTTTAGGTACTTGCAATAACAACACAGCAGATGACTGCATGTTGCCAAATGGAAACATTGCAGAAAACTGTGAAACCATGGCAGATCATTGGCAAGTTGTCGATCCCTCCAAACCACAGTGCTCTCCAGGCTTAATTCCTACAAAAGCACCTGGCACAACCCCAGTGCAGCCTTGCAAAGAATCTTCCATCTGCGAACTTCTTTTAGGAAGGTAGACATCTCTCTGGGGTTTCTAAGCCTTTGATCAAATTAAGTGGCAATTTCTTAATAAATTAATTTCTTAATAAAAGAATTTTCTAACTATTTCTCTATTTCTTGTACCTTTGTGGGTTGCTTTCATTCTTTTTACTGTTTCTAGATGTCACGCTTTGCTGATAGTTTACTTCCAACCCTCTGGCTGCTACATTAACCTTTCTTGATGTTCTCGTGTTCTTCTATGCTCTTGCCTCTTCCCACACTAACTTAGCAGAAAACAGAGTCCAATTGAAAACAGAAATCTTCATTTTTAGAATTTTGTGTCAGAAGTTTAAAAAAAAAAAATCAAACAAAATCTCTTCAGAAAAATAGTTCATGGTTGCACTCAGTAAGCTTCATGTAGCTCCTGAACAGAAAATATTGGTGCCTGAATGTTTTTTAGGAGAGGGGAGAATACTTTAATGTATATTGAAAGGTTACAATTTAGATAATACTCTTTGTAAAAATCTCTCTCTAACAGTCCTTGTTCATATGTCCTTAAGCACCACTGTTGCCACGTTATAACATGTTGAGCACACTGAAGAATTCATGGATTCAGTAATTAAAACTTATAAATGTTTCTGTTTCTAGTTTGTTCAAGCCATGCCATGGCTCTGTCAATCCTGAGAAGTACTACACAGCCTGTGTTTTTGATAGTTGTGTACTTCCTAACTTAGACCTGGAGTGCTCAAGTCTGCAGATCTATGCTGCCACCTGTGCTGATCAAGGTGTATGCATTGACTGGAGAAGTCATACCAATGGTGTTTGCTGTAAGTATGTGGCCATTTATCTTAACTATGAGGGAAGCTTATGTGGAACTCTTTCATCAATAATGTCCTAACGGTAACTCATATCACTTTTTGAGCAATGCAAACACCAATAAATCACACTAGCTGCTTTCCTTAAATAATGTTACAGGTAACATTTTTAACAATGGAAATTATGATGAGCCAGCAAAAATGTTCATCTATTGACTGTGACAGTAACATCTGTATCAGTAGACACTTTTTTGTACACAGGCAGTTTTCTTTTGGAGGCATCAACAGATCACTGTATTCAGTGACATATGCATTCATTTTCAGCTCTAGTAAGAGGAGGACAGAGGGTGGGAACACACTCCTCTTTAAGAACTTGTGCAAAACAGACTGAAACTATGGAAAAATTTGTAATCAAGATACAGACTCTTGACTCCTTAATATAAGGCATGGTGCTATATCCCTATAGCTAATTTACGTAAAATAATTCCAGTCACAGGCATGAGTCTGATATCTGGTTTGGTTTTTGGGGTTTTTTTTCTCTTTGATTCTCAAGATTGTCAAAGATGCATAGGAAAATGAGTAGTCAGTATTTATTTTCTTAGCATAAGTTCATGGGGCTTTTATATGATATTGTTACTGAGCTCTTCTTCCTTTTTATTCTTCTGTTCCAGCTTATAAATGCCCCTCAGATAAAGAATACAGAGCATGTGGTCCTATTAAAGAGATAACCTGCAAATCAAGGTAAATAATCCCTTCACTGTTAGTTATAGCTCATAGAACTGTGCAGTCATACCTAATGCATAGGTGGATAAGAGAAATCAACCTCCTGCCATGTCTTAAATTGACTGTCATACTTGGTACCACTGTTTTCTTGATCTGGATGCCTGTACTGCTTATGTTGTTCGGCCATATCAAACATGAACACTGACAGTCCCTAAATCGCAAATGTGCAGATCATTTACCACTGTATCTTCAATGAAAAGTTATTTGTCATCATCTTCCTCTGTGTGTAATGGTGTTCTCTGAACATTTTGTCTCCCACAGTCAACAAAACGAAACTTCAACTAAACAAGTGGAAGGCTGTTTCTGTCCTAACGGAACGATGCTGTATGACTCTGGTGTCAATGTCTGTGTGGAAACTTGTGGTGAGTTTTACTGCTTCATTTGGATGCATGTTTGTTTCCCCTTCGTTGTTTCTTTCTTATGTATGCAGCATAGATGTGACAGTGCGCTATGCTCATACTGAAGGTGCCTACTATTATGTAAGTGCTAATGGAAATTTATTTTTATATTTTGACAGGCTGTGTTGGGGTGGATATGATACCAAGAGAGGTATGCTGCCATATGCTTTTGTATTTCAAGTAGAGACTGGGGATGGGGAGAGGATAGTGGCCTCCACTGGTGCAGTTTTGTTTTGTGGTCTCCCAACTTTTCATTGCTGTTTTTATTTTTACTCTTTTTAATTTTTAACCAGACAATCATTCACTTTATTTTCTTTAATGACAGTTTGGGGAAAGGTTTACAGTAGACTGTCAGGACTGTATTTGTGTGGAAGGTGGATATGGCATTGTATGTGGGCCTCATGAATGTGCCAAACAAAGTAAGACCAGTTGTGATGGAGAAGGCTTTTATGAAGTCAATGAAGTAAATCCTGAAGACTCCTGTTGCCCCATTGTCACCTGCAGTGAGTGTATAATTTTTGTTTCTAGTCTTTCTATACCTTTTAGGAATAGAAAATAAAAGGTAACTGAACTGATTTAGTCCCAGAGACCTTCAGCAGGGAGTCACAAAACAGTATCTTTCACTTTTTTAAAATCAGCTTGCCTAGTGTTAGGGAAAATACATTTTAGTATTGCAATGACTCAGCCTAACCGAATTTATTATCATAGGACTCAACAATCAATAGCTCTTGAGCTCAAGATCACATTTTATTAAAATAAAATGCAGATAGATTATGGAATTCTGTGTGGGTTTTCATTTTGCAAGAATTGTCTACAACCTTGGAGAGAGTAACGGTTGTCTACTACTTCTCTGAAAAGAATTGAGATACTTCTTTAACACTTGGTAGTTACATAGGAGAAAATTTTTCAGGAACCAGTGCAGTCCCCTGATCCAGTGCCTGGATTCACTAGGAAAAATGTGTTCTATTTCTGCGATTTGTTTCTTTGGGGGAGATCTTGACTGTTTCCAAGCAATGGAAAATCTATCCTAAATGCTTTGATAGGTGCCTATTTCTAGTAGCCATGATTTAGTATACTTTTTGGCTTATTCCTTATTTTTCAGAATGTAATACAAGCTTATGCACAACTAAAGCCCCCAAGTGTGCACTGGGATTTGAAGTTCATTCTCACATTCCCAGTGGTCAGTGCTGTCCTGTGTACCAGTGCGGTAAGTCCCTTGGAATGCGTAATTTAGCATCACACCTCGTAAGACTGTATGCTATAGTTTATTGAAAGAGGTAGTAAACAAGGTCAGATTCTACAAATTGGTTATTAATAACACTGGTTTCTACTGCTATGGTTATGACAAACACGTAGGAAACCAGATACAGCTAGGTGGCTCAAGTTCAATTTTCGTGGTTGTAAGAACATGTAAGAATAGCTACAGAACTAACCAGGACTGTGGTCTTAGCTTAATCTAGCAAAATATCCCTGTAAGCATCTCCAGTAGAAGATAGCTTTACAAAGTCTGCTTTGTTCTTGGTAATTGAAACAAGGAATTACTTGTACCTGCTAAGTGAACATTCTCGTCTGTGAACTGGATTGTGTATATTGGGCCAAATCTTCCTTTTTGCACATTCAGTATTTGTTCTTATACTTTATATATGTCATGTCTGCTACCAGAAATGGGGAATAACCAAAGTATTTGACCATATGCATTGTGATTCATTGTGGAAGAAATGAGGTTTATTGGGTTGGGGTGAAGACCCCCCTTTTTTTTCCCCCTGTGTAACCACCCAACTCCTTTCCCATTGACAGTTCCTAAGGGGGTTTGTGTACATCAGAACGCTGAGTTCTTGGTAAGTTCCCATTTCAAGAATCTTCTGAAATTCTTAAAATACCAGTTACTTTTTCAGAAGTGCTGTGAGAAGGTTTATCTAGTACAATCAAAGTTTTAGGAATTTTTTAACACCTGTCAGAAGTTCATCAATTTCACAAAGCTTAAATCTTTTCTGAAAAGGTTGCTGTGTATGAAAGACTGAAGAGTTGTTTGTATGCCAGTATCAGAGATGTTTGTGTTTAGAGTTAAGTGTCCATGCATTTTAAAAAGCCGGTTGACATTTACTGTCAGCACATCACTGCAGCTTTAAGACTGCTTTCAAAAATGGAAAGATTTGTAAATAACTATTATTCTAAATGGACTTAGATTCCTAATAAATTCTGTTGCATCTAGTAATTGTTTTATTGCAGATATTTGTTTGACACCTGCCCTTTTAATATCTGAGTTTATCATTGCTATATAGGACTTCATTAAAGACACATTTATTTAAAATGTTGTCTTTATAAATAGCTAGCCAAATAGCTATCTTAGTGTTTATGATTGTTTCCTTTTCCATTACTTAGTTTACAGATTTTTTGGAAATGAAGAAATGTCTGTCACATGTCATATTTCATTAATATATGTATCTTTTTTTTTTTTCCTAAAACTTATAGCCTAATGCCTCAGTCTTTGTTGATAAGTGTCAGAATTGTTTCTGCACTAATGAAGTTAGCACCAGCACTCAACTGAATATCATCTCATGTGAATATATTCCGTGCAACATACATTGTGGACCAGTAAGTGACAAACAAACAAAAACCCAAACTAAAATATTCATGTACATGGAAAACAATTTGATCAATGTGTGGTGTAAGCAAAGGACAGGCAGTAGAAATACAGAGTCCAACTCCAGCATGGATACCAACTGTCCTTGAGCAATCTGTTGCATGAAACTTGTTTAACTTACAGTATTCAATTACCTTGGGAAGATTAGTGGGGACATTTCTGTAGAGAACTTAATGAAGTGATATTTAATTAGTAGGCATATTTATTACAGTGCTGTAACTTATTCCACCTATAGCCTGCTTTTATTACTTGTCTTCCATTGGGCTGGAATACAGAAAGGCACAAATCCAGAGTGTACTTCAAAGCATAATCAATTAATGGGTTAGTGTGTTTTCGTTTATTTAGCAAAAATGCATCTATACTAGTGCTTTCATTTTTAATTAATTTTAATATCTAGGGATATGAGATTCAACCAGTGAAAGGGGAATGTTGTGGAAGATGTGTGCAGACAAAGTGTGTTATACATACAGCAAACAATTCTGACCTCATCTTGAATGTAAGTATGCTCTACATCTTACATCTCTACCAAATTTGTAAAGCACCCCTTTCAGGGAGGGAACATCTCCTTGTCAGAGAGAAGACTTAGTGTACGTTTGCACCTGAAAGGTCAGAAGCTCACTTGAAGCAAAACCTATTTACAATTTTTTGACCTGAAGGAAAGACTCGCAAAATCAAATTTTCTGGAAGGCTCTTTCTGGAATGACAAATCCAATACCATTGGAAGGGTTTTTCTTCCTATATCTGCAAGCATGGAATTTTCTATATTATTTGATCTCTGTATAGTGAAAAACACTAGTAAAGCCTGCATATGGAAAAATTTTATTGCCCCTGTAGGGTGAAAGTTTAGGATTGTTCTTAATTAGCATTTAACAGTTTAGCTTTTAGAGAAATCCATCAGCATGGATGATTTTGTTAATAAGTCTAATGTACTCTGTATACTTTAGAGGAATTTTTCTTTTCCAAAGGAAATCCCATGTAAAACTAAAGATACTCTCCATGTATGGCATACTGCAATATATGTAATAATCTGTATCTAAAACAGGTGTTAACCTAAAATTGATTGACTGGGAAACAAGAGGAAAGTCATTGTCTTAGGACAGGAAAATTTCTGTCTGACCTCTTTCAGCTTTCCTTATTACATGTTGTATTTTGCTTGCAGCCTGGAGAATTCAAAAATGATCCTTACAACAACTGCACCATTTATAGCTGTGTAAATATCCACAACCAGTTTATTTCCTCCACATCTGAGATTACCTGCCCAGCATTCAATGAGGACAGCTGCAAACCTGTAAGTAAATATAGAAAACTTACCTTCTACTCAGTGCATAGATAACTTCAATTTAGTTCAGCCACCTAACCAGCAACAAAAGTCATGGTGACCTTTCACCGAAGTTTCTCAGGGCAAAAATTTCTGCTGCATGCATGCACAGACCTATAGAGTGTATAAAATCAGATATCTTGGTGAGAGTTAAAGCCTTATAACTGGCAGCTGTCTCTCAGTAGCCAAAACATTGGTCAAAACTGAGATACAGAGTCCTCCCAAAGTCTGGAAGAGTCCATTATCTTGTCTATTCAGATCAATGCTGCAGTTTTTGCTGGTTATTTCCAGCCAATTAGGAATTACTCTCCTCAGTTATTGGCCTAAAAGTTTCTTCAATACAGGGAATGAAAATAATATTATTTTTTCTGTTTCTTTGTTCTTTTAGGGAACTATTACATTGTTACCTAATGGTTGTTGCAAAACCTGTAAGTATGCCAGTCCTACCTGAATCAACAATACAGAGATTTAATTTTCTTCTTAAATCAGACCATTTTCCAGCCTCAGAGGCTGATAGGTTTGTATTTAAACAGATATTTATGTTTGTTATTCCAAGCATTCACTGTCTGATCTCTGGGAAAGTTTGAACTGAAGCAGGGAGACCACTTAAGACAATTGAGTGCACTAGTGAAGCCCAGAGACTCCTGAACTGCAAGGAGCTTTTGGGCCTATATCATTGAAATTATTTTGTGATCTTTCCATGTAGGTGCACCTCTGGATAATCCCACACCGTGCTCTGTCCGTCAAAGAGAAGACTTTATTGTCTATAACGGCTGCCGGTCTGTGGACAGAGTTCTCCTGACGGAATGTGAAGGAACATGTGGAACCTTCTCACTGTAAGTGAACCGATTGGACAGTGACATTTGAATTCTGCTGGCACTAAGCTTGATTATACACAAGGAACAATAAGTAGTTAGACCACAGAATAGTAGAAGACCTGCAACTATCAGCTCTCCAAATCAAGGGCACAAAATCATGAAATCTGTGACCGAACAGTTGATTCATCTTAATACAAAGCAAGACAGTGCATTAAGTTGCACTGGGATTCAGACAGCCATGATAAGGTTTATTCATCCATTATGAGCTGGCTTGTCTGTCATTTGTGTCAGACCACCTTGGCTAGAAATCATCACAAAAGAACATGGAATATTCTTTAATGGGAATGAGCCCAGAGAGCAGCCAGATCTGATGCTCATAAACTGAAAAGCTGCTTTTCAATAATTAACATCTAAAATAAAATACACGTGCATCTTTTAAAGGAAGATTCAAACATGCACAGTTTTTATACAGTGAAGAATTTAGAAAACACATGCTTTAGGAGTGGTGTTAGTAGTTTCACTGTACATTTTTTTCTGAAATGAAAGAATCTGTAAGAAAGTAGCTATAAGAAAATGCCTAGTAGGACACCTGGTCCTGAGCTATTAAAACACTGGAAAAACACAATTCTAACTCTGCAAAGAAACTGTCTGCTGCTGCCTATCACTGAATATGCCACAGGGCACCTTACATGGGAGAAAACTGATCTTCAGTCTCAGATTGAACCCCAATTAGCCAGTGGATTTATTAGTATTTTGAAACACCTTATCATCTTAAAGACTTGCTGCGATTGCCTCTGCACACAAATATAAGATCATAGAATCATAGAACGGTTAGGGTTGGAAGGGACCTTAAAGATCATCTAGTTCCAACCCCCCTGCCATGGGCAGGGACACCTTCCACTAGACCAGGTTGCTCAAAGCCACATCCAGCCTGGATGTGGCTTAATATGAAGATGATTCTTGACACAATTTATAGCCTGATATTGACAGATTCTGCAGGTTACATGTTCCCAAGCACCATTGGGTGGCTCTTCTATATATTATTCCAAACTTCTCACAAGAGTTCTGGACCTAATTTCACCCTCTCCCCTGTATGCCGACTTCTGGCACAGAGTAATACTGCCATTTTCCATGTTAACAGATACTCTGCTGAGGCCAATTCTATGGAGCACAGCTGTTCCTGCTGCAGGGAATCAAGGACTACTGAGAGAGATGTGGAACTGAAATGCCCCACTGGGCGTTCAATTTCACATAAGTATATCTACGTGGAAAGCTGCAGCTGTCAAGACACTGAATGCAGCAACTCACAATCCAATGAGTTGCAGACCACAGAAGAAAATGACAAGGCGAGCACTCTGAACCGTATCAAGAGGGCCATCAGCTTAATATCAAAATGAAGGGGAAAAACCTACCATCATTCAACTAAAAGGACTATGCACCATTCTCATCTTCCTTGACTACTTTTGAACTTTGCTTTTCCAAGTTACTGTACCCTGTTTGTTCTCTGATTATTTTTAACAGTGCTCTATTTATTTGTGCACAAAATAAGAATACAGATTTGTATTCTTCCAAGTGCACAGCCTTTTGGATCCTTTCATAATCATCTTATTTTCTCTGAATGATTAAAAGCACATTTCAAAAAACATAGGTTTTGTACTGTCATGTGCTGTCTTGATGAACCTGAGCTTTGAAAGAGAAGATGTTTTTCAAGTTATAGGAAGTCAACAGACATATTTCCTGAATTTTTGGCTATATATTTCTAGCTCCTTAAAAACTGAAATATCAGAAGGTACTGTCTGGAGGACCCAATGTGTAAGTTGGGGCAGAAGTTGATACTGCCTGCCAGGAATAATATACATCATGAAGTGATTCAGGTGACTCAGAGAAACTTCTAGTTCAGCACCAGATCTCATTTTGTCAGGGCTGTGTATGTTAGAACTGTCTCAGTTCATTACAGTTATTTGTTTTCACTAAGAAAGTAATCCCTCAGCTATGAGAACACAATGTTCATTCATAGTGCTTGAGGGATGTATACTTAATAGAGTAAGAAGTCTCCAAATTCCAGCATTTGCAAAACAGATGCCATCTCTGATCTAGTGATCCTAGGCTTCCTCTACAGGAAATTGAGTGAAACAGCCATTTTCGACGTTCACTTGTCTCACAACAAACGACATGTCCAAAGGATGTTAGCTGAATTGCATTCTGAAGTGCCTGTTTATCTGATCTTACTGTAAGGGGAGCTGGAGGAGATTTGCTAAGACATGGACATCTCTCTTGAATCATCTGAAGTGTGAGAATAACTCACACCTTCTGTTTTGTGTGAAAAATGCTTCTGGTATTATTTTGTCTGGTTAATGAACACTACTTGTGCTTTTCCTTCTGAGAAATTAAAGTAACTGCTTGAGCCACAACCAACCTGAATACTGGCATCGTTGCTACCTAAAGAATTGATGGCACCATTTTTTGCTACTACTAGCCCTGCCAAGTGTGTTGCATCTTAGAATGCACAGGAAATGAAACTCTAAGTTTTGCATCTTTAGAATACTGTGATTAGAACACTAATTTCTGTGCAGGGAGAGACGTAGCTTATCTAAGAAGAAGGAAGTTTTGCCAGTATACAAAGCAAGCTCCAGAACTAATGAAGCCTGATTTTTGCTTCAGTATGGGTTTCTAAGGATTACTGTCTCTAGCTTCATTGTGGAAGACTTTTCCACTGAGGCATTTACAAGGTCGCTCATTGGATTCTTTGTTGTCTCACAATTTCTGTGCTGACAACCATACCTTTCCTTGAGCCATTTGCAAAAACACTTTTCTCAAAGTCTGTTGACATTTAGCTGTCTTTGAGATCTTAATTTTTGCAGTTCAATTTGGCTGAAGTCAGCAAATAGCTTCTGGAGACAAATAGATACAAGGTCTTATCAAATCTGCTTTGTTTCCTAAGAAAAAGACATAAAATATTCCAGTCAGTAGTGGCATTTTGCTGCACGCTATGTGTACACTGAAGACTAAAATCTCCTTTGCTTTTTTTTTTTTTCATTTGTTCTCTGGTTTGCACGGACTCTTTCTGTCCTTCGAGTGATGGGCAGACACATAAGCAGGTTAAAAGACACTGTGCTAAAATATTCCAGTCAGTAGTGGCATTTTGCTGCACGCTATGTGTACACTGAAGACTAAAATCTCCTTTGCTTTTTTTTTTTTCATTTGTTCTCTGGTTTGCACGGACTCTTTCTGTCCTTCGAGTGATGGGCAGACTACTTCCACAGAAGCAGGTTAAAAGACTGTGCTATCAGTAAGGCTGCAGATTTAGGCTTCGCCACTGGAGGGCACTCTAAGGCTAACAATGGAAAATTCGGACATCAAATCAAGCTGCCTCCCTAACAATGGAAAATTCGGACATCAAGCTGCCTCCAAAAAGGAGTTTGTACTTTATCAGAGGGTTTACCTCTGAGAAGAATGAATGCTGATATTTCCTCACAGACACTTGCATGCTCTGAGTCAGCACTAAAAAAAAATGATTCAGACAGGAATTTACATGCATGCACAGGATGATGTTCCTTACAGTGCTCTGGATTATAGGAGACACTTCAGTTTTGGTCCTGGGTCAGTGCTGCTGTTCAGTTTTGGGCCCCTCACTACAAGAAAGACATTGAGGTTCTGGAGCGTGTCCAGAGAAGGGCCACAAAACTGGTGAAGGGGCTGGAGAATATGTCTTTTGAGGAGCTGCAT